TAGTGGCATTGACCGTCACATTATAACGCCCCACGGCTGAAAGGGCGAGCATGTTTGGTGGGACGGTGATTCGAACCCGTGACCCGCAGATTGCGAGTCGATTGCCCTAACCACCTGGCCATGCCGGGCCCAAAAAGAGATTAGAAAGAAAAAAGTTCAAATAATACTATGTTGGTATGTATAAAGCAAAATAAATGTATAATATGAAGATCGATTAACAAGGAAATGTTAGTACTGGAGGAATCCCACACACTTTAAAAATTAAAAACAGCTAAAGTGGGATGGAACAAATACAATAAAAATACGTTTTACTACCTTTAACGTGGCTTTGTTAGGTACTGAACATAACACATTAAATACATCTAAAGGTGACGTCTTGAAGATAACCTTGGCACAAATATGAACTTACTTGCATTTATTTATCTTAGGTTTGCATTGTTTTATTATAGCTTTGTATTGTTTTATTAAATATCTTTAGTTTATTAACATTGGGTTCATAGCCAAAATTGTTAACAATTTTATTTTACTACGATGTTCAGTATCTTCAAAATAGATAGATGGATTATGTTTCATCTTCACATACCCTCCTCTGCATTTCTTGTCTCTCGCTCAACGCCAGACAGACGAAAAACCTCTTCTCCTGAAGTAACACAACACATAAACCAAGAGCGGGGTGAAGAGGAACAAACGAATTCTTGAACGCCTCTGGTTAAATACCTAAACTCCTTCCAAGTCTGTAGAAGAAGTAACATACCATATAAACCAGGAGTGGGGTGAAGAGGAACAAACGAATTCTTGAACGCCTCTGGTTAAATACCTAAACTCCTTCCAAGTCTGTAGAAGAAGTAACATACCATATAAACCAGGAGTGGGGTGAAGAGGAACAAACGAATTTCTGAACGCCCTTGGTTAAATACCTAAACTACTATCAAGTCTGAAGAAGAACACCACCATTCACAGTTTGCGCCAGAAGAAGAAAGGTCCACCTTTCGAAAGCGCTCTGTTTATAGGATTTTTATCATTTCGTATCAAGACTTCTTAAACCTACGTGTTTTTCTGACTATAGTAATATATATATATATATATATATATATATATATAGTTTATGGACTTCTATGAAGTTCTGTGAAAATAAGTGAAACTGTGAAACATGAATATCATAAAAAATATCGGGAAGAAGTGCAATATACACAAAGTACTTAGCACCATATCTAACAATGGTGTACTGCAATGTCTTTCTTTTAAATTCAGGGCTCTATTCCCAGTAGTAGACAGAGTGAAGATAGCCAATTATGGTTAAAACAAAAACGACAAAACTCCTAAAATATAACTAGAAAAATAAAATAAAAATGACAAAAAATGTAACTTGTTTTTTTAAACAGTAACTCAATCGCATAACGATGATAATACAAAATGGGTTTTAAACTTAAGAGTTAAAATAGATAACTCAAAAAACGTATAACAATAATAAAGGGGAATTCAAAACGATACGACTAATTATTAGCAATCGCTAATAAAATTAATGTGAGATATTTGAATAAAGTATCGAACGTGGCTGCCATAGACAGGTATCAAGGTGTTTGGATATAAACGCCTTGCTCACTACATATCTATTGTGGGTGTAAACACCGAGTTCCTCTGTATATATCCATGGTAAGACCAATATAAAATAATTATTAGATTTGTATGATCTCAGCCCGACATGACAAAAAGTCGAAGCTTCGATATATTTTATTTTGTAATTTAATATACTGACCCAAACAAAACAGATTAAACTTGTTTTTTAATAAATCACCAGAATAATTGACGCATAGTGTAACATGTATCGGATATGAACTAATTTATTAAAAGGTCAAATGTGTGGCTTAATTTTACTTGAGAAAATTGGATGATTGTCTAATAATTATTTTATATAAGCCTTATTGCAGATTTATACTTCAGGTATGTGACAAAAAAAATTAAAAATCTAGAACCTGAATTTTGTTAATTTTATTTAAAAATCAAGATCGTGATTTTAAAGCTCAGAAATGCTACTGATAAATCATAATCAAAAGTTATGATTGGGAGTTTTTGCTGTTGGTCAAAGGCACTTGCTTCAGATTTATCCATTAATTTATAACAACAACCTGTACTCGAATAACCAAAGCAACATTATGCAGACAAAGAGACTTTACATCAAATTCTGAGAATTTCGACATGAAAGATTTAATGCTAACACTCATGAAACAAAAATTCAATTCTAATGCTTTACGGCAGATTCTTTCATTTTGAGAATAATCTCTACCTGAAACGGCAAAAATTGTAATTCGGAATTAAACTGATATATCTACCTGAAACTTAAAAAAAATTAATGCGAAATTAAACTGAATTTTTGACTTGACTGATGAAGTTTGCTGAAGTGAGAACTGAACATAACGTTAAATAAAGTAAAATTATTCTTTATACCTCAAGCAATAACAATAAATAAAAATTAATATGTACAGAGAAAAGAAGGAAATCGTATATTGCTTGTAAATAACAGAAATAACTTTGAAAATCCCATAAGATATGAAGTACTTCTGTGATGAATTTGTATGTAAACGTATAATCAGCTCTGACATAGCGCGTGTATTGACCTGGTCTTTGATCCTCTCATAAGTCAAAATAAAAAGGACATAGCCTCCACATATTTCCACACTCACACTCACACATTCATGCTGGTAAGATCAAAATAACTCGACAAAAAAAAAAAAAAAAAAAAAGCTGCCAGCGAGAATGTTTAAAAGTAGGACACACTGCTTGACCGTTTGTATAACTGGTACACAAAATAAGACCATTACTGCGCGAGGTATATTTCTATATATATGTGTGTGAAGTTCACACTCGCTCAAAGTTCGTGTATATCTGAAAATATTCAATGTTAATTTCCCAGAGGAAGAAAAAATTGTATTTTTTCACCTACAGCAGACTTACTCTCAAAGTATTCGGGTTATGTTGAACCAGTCTGAGCCAATTGTTGTAGCTTAACCTAAAAAATAAAATAATCCTTTTCAAATAAGTTATAAAGAAAGCAATAGTACAATTTAAACGTTTTTATGGTATTAAATGTTTACTTCCAGTTATTTTTTGTTTTGTTTTTTTGTCATGTAATAATAATTTAGAGAGCATTACAGTTGTTAAACAATGACAGGCCAAGTGTGCGAGAAACAAAAAATCCACCTGTTAGGTAATTTTGTTCTTATAAAAACGATATTTTATGTAACGAAAATAGACTGTTAATAAATCCTAACGTTATAAACTTTTAATGTATCAATTGATCAGAAAAATAGCAAATCAATGTGGAAAAACATAAATAAAAGTGTACAGTAAGAGAGGACTACGTATAAATGTTAGGAAAGACAAGGTAATTATACAGTGAACTTGTTTTTTTGTTAAGGGCAAAGTTATACAATGGGCTATCCTATGCTCTGTTCATTGCAAGTATCAAAACTCGATTTTTAGCATAACTGACCACCGGGAGCCCAATCAATTTGACCAATCATGTAGCTATATATACACACGCAAACACACATATTACGTAACAATGCTTTTTTTTTTTACAAAAATCTAAAGGCCAATAAATGAGATCCCACAGTATAAAACATGTTCTTTTTAGCCCTATGTGTATTGTTCTTAACATAATTTATGCTATATTTAAGATAAAAAATATGAAATAATGGGCTTAAAAAACAAGAAATGTATTATTTATTTTGGTTGTATATATTTTGACGCTAGAGGACCCTACTAGAACATGTTAGTTTAAGAAGAAACGAGAAAACTTATAAATACGAGTTGTATAGTTAGAATCATTTTATTTCTTTATATTATCAGCTGTTATTCTTAATAATTTAAGTAACATATGCTCATCAAAATTAAGTTTCCAAATCGTCGACAATTTTAGAAGGTAAGTGGAGCTTCAAGTAAAGGAACCTACAACTAGAAATAGAATAGGGAGGGAGTTAATGATGTGTTACTGTTAGGTTATCTGTACTAAGTTATAAACTATAGTTGTGAAGCCTAACAATTGTATTAACGACAAATTTCCAGGTCTCTGGGTTCTAGACTACTGTCTGAGCCCTAATATATTAAGTAGGTGAAGTGTTATAACGGAGTTGTCTTGATTCATTTCTGTTACTTTTTAGTTTTAGATTTCTAGTATTATAAATATAAAGCTAAGTAAGAGCCTCACCAAATTTGTTCGTACAGAATACACTTAAGTTTCAGAAATCAATTTCCAGTACTATTTACTATCTTACTCTTAGTATCTAACACTTTTATGTTCCAGTACTAATTTACTTGAATTTGTAAGTTGTGAAAGTATAAGTAAAGACAGTCATACTTCTGATGCTTCTTAATTGTAATTTAACAAAGAACAGTCAGGGTCAAAATTAGTAATACTAATTATGAAGCAATTAGATTTTATTTGTGTGTGTGTGTGTGTGTGTGTATTTATGTATTGTACTTTATTTGTATTTTACTAATACTATTAGTATTAGTAATAGACTTAATCAGCTAGTGTTTAGTGTAAATGCAGCTTGAACTAAACCTAAACACTGCAGGTTCAACTTATTCCATGGTCGTCATTTCAAAAAGTGTCTCCAATTTATAGCAAAGGCCTGCGAAATTAAACTTCATTAAAGTGGCTTTGATTTTAATAATGGATTTTTCCATAATTCAGCTATTCAGATTTCGAAAATAATATTCATTTTTTCTATCACGTAAGGATTCTTCACAAATCGGGAAGAAAAAAATACTTACTTAGATCAAATTATTATTTCATTTACCACAATGAACATTTATTATTATTATGTTTGTTTAACAAAAATACAAACAAACTGAAGAAAAGGGAAGAACATTGATGTCAAACAAATAAGCATCATCATTCATCCTGCTTTTTTTTTAAATTTATGTCTCTTAGTTAAAAAAACTGTGTTTCTTTTATGTATCATGTCTGCAGCATCTTGTTTCAATGACCAGCAGTAATCAGCCATCATGCTAATGTCCCACCTTCCCTGATACCTCCTCTCCTTTTCCCTGATCTGTTGATGAAACATTTCCCCTTGCTCTTCACTGATGGCACAAGAGAGTTTCAGGGAAATAGTCAGTATGTGAGTGTAAGAAATGAACTTTCAAGCTCATGTTACAACCCAACTCTTTGAATTTATTGAGCATGTTATTGACAGTATTTTTGTAATTTGGGTCCATGTTGTTTCCTAAAAATTTGTCAATAACATCTTTAAGGGCAATTCATGCTTCTTTTTCAACTTTCCTTATTGTCCCTTCGAACTGTTCTTTTGAATACAATTTCCTAATCTGAGGCCCAACAAGAATCCCTTCTTTAAGTTTCGCATCTGAAAGAGCTGGGAATTACCTACATAGATACTTGTAACAGTCGCCATCATTATCTAAGGTCTTCACAAACTGCTTCATCAAGCCTAATTTTATATGAAGTGGAGGTAATAGGACTTTCTTTGTGTCAACCAAACTTTCATTTTCAGTGTTTTTCGATCCTGGTATCAGGCTGACTTCTTTATCCAGTGCTAATTTTTGCTCTGCTGTCCCATTAACACAAAAACCAAGGAAACTTTGTATAACTGGATTGTTGACCAAACAATATACAAAGGACTTTTATGTCTCCACAAAGTAGCCAAACATGTTATTTGTATTTGACCTTATTAAGAAGTTCAAGATTTTCATATGTTTCCTTGAAGTGAACTGAATGAGCAATAGGAAAAGATGCATACATGTTACCATTGTGAAGGAGAACACCTTTTAGACTTTTTTTGGAGGAATCAATGAACAATTGCCACTCACTTGGTTCATAGACTGCAGATCCTAGCATTGGTATTAATTCAGCAATAGTGTTGCATTCTTGTGAAAAGTATGATATAAACTCTTTCTCACGATTTCTGTACCAGTAAAATGATGTCCCTGGAGAAAGTAAGTTCTTAGTCTGAAGTTTGGACCCCAAAATCTCTGAAGAATCCTTTGGAAAGCCCAAATCTCTCACCAAATCATTTAGTTCACCTTGTATGAAAAGTTGTGGTTCACCAGACGTTTCAGGTTGAAAAAACCCCTATCATCATTTCTATTGACATCAGATTCAGAATCAGATGAAACTGTATCAAGAGTCTAGTGGAGTAGGTACAGGTACATCAGGTCCATAAGCAACAGGTTTTATAGCAGACTGAAGGTTCTGATAAGAAATTTCCTTTTTATTTTGAGTGTTGTAGCCTTGCACGTTACATGTGCAAAAATAGCAGTCTTTTCTGTGGTTTCTAGGCTCACACCAGACCATTGGAATTCCAAAAAGCAAAGACCTTTTCTTACCTTTAGTCCATTGTCTCAACTCTTCAACACAAACGATGCAAACTTTGAGCAGAGCCCATGATTTGTCTTGGTCCCCAAGTTTTATTCCAAAATATTTGTAATATGCTGTTTTGACGATTTCTGTAATGTTTTGCCTTTGTTTCTTTACCACAAATATTACAGAATATGTGTGGGTCATTTACACACCCTCTTGTTGCCATAGCAAGGAATAAATAATAATGAAAAGAAAAAATAATGTCAAAGTTCACGCACAAACAAATACTATCCAGAAATAATATGTTATGTAGCCTGTTAACTGTTTATATACAAGTGCTTTGTTCCTCGGGGTTTCTAGAATGATCAATAAAACTCATATCACGATTGGTCTAGAGAAATCTATAGCCAGTGGCTGTCAATACTTTAGGCATAACAAAATGTGACCAGATTTCAAAGAAAACTTTTACATGATGGAGAAAAATGGATATAATTTTTGGGTTCAGCGTACAGGAATTACTGTAGAACATGTAAAAATTTCAAGACAGTAAATCCATCACAGGCCTGTGTAGTTAAATAGCTAAACTTTAGCATTGGATGTGTTTGTATATCTTTCACTTTCAGTTACCAAATGTCTCAAGTTTACTTTTTAAAAGTCAAAGCGCTAATATTTCAAATCATTAACAAGACAACATTGTAGATATTATACTAAACTGTATGCTGTTATCAAATTTCCTTAAAACTGGTTAATCATTTTCTTCCTTAAAATTAAACAAAAGAAAGGTAGAATCAAATTTCCAATGGCTGTTAGTCCTACATGATGGTTATCATACCCTGATATAGTGCTTTTTATTCAACTCTACAGCAGAAACATGAAAGTGTGATTGGACTCTTTGGAGTTGTAAAATAGTAATTTAGTGGAAAATAGTAATGTTTATTTTAAAATTATATGTATTGCTGAAGTTCGTTAAATTATATAAAGTAATATTTCTGCCCTGAAAGTTATTTGAATTCACAATATTGGTATCATTCCGTTTATTTATGATGATAGTTGACAAGGAAGTGGAATGACTAAATACAAGTATCTTTCTGTTGAGAAGAAGTAAATGTCAATGATTGCTACATAAACAGTGAATCAACAGCAAGTAAATTTAAATGTTTGTGATTGATAATAAATCATATATTCTCTGCATTATTCTCTTGAAGCATATGTACTTGAGTTTTGTATATGCTTTGTATTTACTTATATATATTTGATACTTAAAACCATTGGTGCTTGGTGAAACTCCATAATTACAGAATAGAGGAAAAAACAAAGACAATTGTACATTTCACAAATACTTTGTTTTTCCTCAATTCTGTACTTTATATGCATAGTTTTTTAAGGAAATGTAATGTCATTAAGCTGTACTATATTATTATGTATTGTTCTTGTATATCCATATAATGAGATTACATTCTAACATGGATACCAGTAGTTGCCTCCAACACCTGTGTTTTAATGAAGGACAGGCTTTTAGTAGGAGAAATGTCTATCAAGATGGACAAAAACATGAAATTAATTTCAGTACAACCCGAATGTGTGTGTGTTTACAACAACAAAAAAAGTATGTTCTTTAGCATTTAATAAGTATTTGATTCCTTCTGGGAAACTGTTCCTTTCTGTATTGTTTATAAGCAACAATGTCAGTCAGTACTTTGACTGTAGATGCATTGGTGTTTATTATATCAAACAGTATGATGACCATGATTATAAATATTTTTAGACAGTGGCACTACTTAACCACTTTGTATAAAACTTTGGACAAATTTACTAAAATGTATCTAATTTTGGGTTTAAAAATTCATATAAATTAATTAAATATTCCTATATTTTTTTTCTTAGTTTGTGAAACTTCTAAATTTTTTTTTTGAAAAAAAACATTAACAATCCCTTTTTTAACCTTACAATTCAAATTTCTTTTATTGTTGATCAGAAAGTTCCATTTTGATAACTATTCAGTTTCAACTAGACTAATATTTATAAACATATTTCTTTTGTTACTTTATTTTGTTGATAACAGTAGTCACCAATTTCAGCTACAAACCAAAAAATATGGTAAAAACTGAAAATTTATTGGTGATCCTTGACCTGACTTTTCAAAATTTGCATCACCATTACCTCTGTCTGGGTAGTTAACCATATTTTTGCTAACTGTATTATTGGTTGAAATAAATTGTATCTATGAAGTATAGTTTTTCTATAAATTGTAAGCTTGTTTGATTATGATAAACTTAAAAATAATCAATAAAGAAGAATTTCAGTCATCAGAATATTCTGTTGTCACCTTTCATACTCTTTAAACTTACCTGATATCTTTTCATCAAATTTCTTTAGCTTTCAAACAGGCATAATTTTATGTGCAAATATTTTCATAAAAGAAAAGAATGTTTAAAGAAAGCATAAATAAATTTCCAGGTGGTTTGTTCTTAAGTCTTCACAACTTCCCATTGAATACCTTTGGTCAATTCTCTAGGAGCTGCTACAAGCAACTTCCCACAGAACCATAGACGACTTCTTAAACTCCCCTAACCTGCAGGACTCGTTTCGTGTTTTGAAAA